GGCATAAGTCGCTCCGGCGCGAACCTCCGGTGATCCTTGGCGATACGTCGCTCAGGAGCCTGACGAACCTCGGCGACCAATCGGCGCACCGAGCGCGACCCTCCGCGAACCGATAGCATACAGAAAGCATACCAAAAGCAAACAAATCTTTTTACGTCGGGATTACTCTGTCTAGTCGGAAAAAACTTTGTCTGTCTGCACGTCTGTCTGTCTGTCCACACGATAACTCGAGAACGAATTGAGCGAGCGACCTGGGATTTTCAGGGTAGTTCTGTACCATCAAAAGACAGGTCGAAGTCGAAGATAAGCATTGCCCTGCTCTGGGCGGCTCTAAAATATGAAACTACTAATTATTTAAATCTCTAGAGCCTCCCGGTAAAGTGTCTATCTAAATTATGAACCTACATTGTGTAATTTGCTGTAAAAATGCAAAGAAGTAGTGTCCGGATTTACCCTGCTGGTCCGGAATTAGACATTCTGACGGTAGGGCCCCGTGCGTTAACATTATGCACGGGGTAGCTGAGCGAAGTGCATTAAATTTACAGAAGACATACAAAACGGGACAAAACTATACCGAATGAGGGTCCGCCTAGTAGGTAGGCAACCGTTCTCAGCTCCTAGAACGCAAGAGATTTGGGGGGAGGGGGCACTTCCAAATACTTCCAAATACTGTCTCTTTTTTTATGATTTTTTTCTAATTTTTCAAATGATTTTTTAATGATTTTTCCGATTTTTTTTAGTTTTTGTTCAGTGAAGTACCCCTCCCCCACCCCCACACTCAACCCGTCCTGCCAGCCGGACCTTCGACCGCGGCCTGGTCTGGTTGGATCGCTCTAATCACCACCAGAGTTCAAATCCCTTATACACCGGCGTTGAGACGTCAACTAGTCAGTGTAGAGATACTAAGGAGAGATCGCAAATGTCTCAAGAACAACTGTTTTCTGTCTCGGGATTGAGACATAATGGAGACAGCGTCGAGCTGTTTCTCTCGAGACGGTTTGGAGACAATCTAGAGACGGGTCGAAAGAGGAACCCGTCAACAGGAACAGGGAGGATACAGGGCTGAGCCATGGCGGGAAGTGACGTAGGTGTGTGAGTAAATTCGTCAAAACGTCAAGCGAGTGTGCACGCCGTTAAACATCCGTTTGGAACTCATAGCCAGAATGGGCATCTACAAAAATTGGCGCCCGATATTTAAAGGCGGGGATCATGGAGGAGAGTCAGCCGCAGGCTCTCATAGTACTGTCGTTGTCAGGCCCGCTCGCGCAAAGACTTTCGTCCCCAGATGCCGAAGCTCCACCTATTGGCATGGCAAAGGATTTCTCGAGACATTTTGGAGACATGTTTGAGACATCGTATAGTCTACCACAGGCTCTCTCAAGCTATCAGGGACGCATTGTAGGGGTACAACTGCTTCGCCAAACTTTGGGTTTGTAAAGGAATGGCACTTTTCATACTTGAGTCATTTTTCTCATCACTTAACGCGCAAAATTTCAGAAGCTATGATCATGATAAAACCTTTCCGTAACTTCTACAATATTTAGAGGACACGTCATTTAGGACTGAACCAATGAAAACAGCCAAAAAGTATTATTTAAAACAGGAAAAGAATTTTGGAGCATTTATAGACATAAATATGCCCCATAATTCTTTTCTTGTTTTCCATATTAGTTTTCTGCTGTTTTCATTGGTTCAGTCCCCCACTTTATACTCCCCGTAAAAGGGCGAGTACCAAATGGCAGCCTATTTCGACGGGAGCTTCTCCAATAAGGTCTTCGCTTCTATAACGCCTTAAATCATCGCGGGACTCAATAGACAATCTGAAAAAGACGTAGATTTTGGCTGTTGGCGCCGTCCGTCACGATACGGCGAGTTCCGGAGACAGTTTCCAGGTACTCGGTTTAACAAGTATTGGGTATTGGTATTGGGTAGATTAAAAATCGCCCTTCCAAAAAAACAAAAAAATGGCCTTTCTTACATCATTGGACACCGCAGACCCCATCAAAAATTATTGGATTGTTGGGCAGCACCACGTGGTCGTTTCCAGCTCGGAAAAAAAAGATTTGCTGATTCAGCTAATATATTGACTGGAATATGGACTAACAAGCACATAAACTACTGTCACCATTATATTGTCTACTCTAATCAAACATTGGCTGCGCCAGTGGCTGCAAGAGCTTACACCACCCCTGCCTGAGTTTAGGTCTACCTAACTGATGCAGGCAAATTATAATTACACTATAAGAAAAATTACAAATTTCTGTATCAAATTTGTTACAGTTTTCTGAATGCGGACACTGTGATACACCAATTTGCATCGGTGATACAAAATCTTGCAATAGCTTATAAAAATTTGTAAACATTACAAATTTTTGATATTATTTCAAAATTTTATATTCATCTTATAATTTTCTGTAATCTGATTACAAATTTCTGTAAACGGGATACAAATTCCTCTAACATGGAAACAGAAATCTGTATGTGCGTTCAAAACTTTGCGATTTTAATGTTTAATTTGAACATGGCTGAAATGTTGCAGTTGGCAACGATGATCCACCAAGCTTATGAAATACTTTCACTATCTTGAGAATTGGTCGGTTGGCGTTAATAGAAAAAGTTACTAGAACCGGCCGCCGCACACTCGTTGACTGCACTCTCAAAGTATTACATTGTGAAATTTGGTTGCCCTCTATGAAACTAGCAACCAATATTAACCAGGAACCTAAAGTTTGTCCATAACCGCAGACAATCGCTCTGTTGACAAAAACGTAACAAATTTCTTGCGAAAAAAGGGACGGATTTAAACGTCCACTTCATGAGACAAATGTATTGTCCACGAAACAGGAAGAAAATTTGTCCATGAGACAAATTTGTCCAAAATTTAAAATTGTTCTGTCTGTCGTTGGATAGTTGTAAATCCGTTCCCTCGTTATGGAAAAAAAATTCTTTTATATTTTGAGTGTAGCTTACCCGAGGGGTCCTCCACTCTTCAATTGGGTGTACAACGAGTTGCGTGAGTGTACGCGAGTATTCGAGAGTATTAGCGAGTATCCGCGAGTTTATGCGAGAAATGGCGAGTATCCGCGAGTATAAGGCGAGTATTTCTCGATTTTTTCGCGAGTTTTTGCGAATTTTCCGCGAGTTGTCGCGAGTATCTTGCGAGTATTTTTCCTCGTGTACAACGAGTTGGCGAGTGGGGGACCCCTCGAGCTTACCAGTGTCGTGAAAAAAAAAAAAAAAAACCAATGTTAAAAGTTCTGTTTTTGTTTCATTCTAAACACTGAACCCTTTTTATTGCATTGTATTTTGCATAATATGTACAGTTGGGTGCAGCGATAGTTATGTACATTACTCACCTCATACATAATTATGTACAAATTTTGCATAATTATGCACAAGTTTAAGCAGAATAAGGGTTTAGTGTCCACTAAGTCACCAAATGGGGTTGATGAGACCGGAAAAAGTCCGGCTTAAGTAGCCCCCTGCTCCTTTACCATCACACGGCTTCAAATCCCGCAGGTGCGCGGCGTGTATGGGCTTCGCGTGATCGACGCTTCGGTGATGCCTGGCACCCCGAGCGGCAACACCAACGCCGTCTGCGTCATGATCGGTGAGGTCGGGTCGGACTTCATCAAGCAGGACTACAAGACCAGCGAAAGCGTTGCCTGACCAATGCCCATCAATCCGCTGTTTGGAAGGGCACTCTACAGCTCGTTTCATGATTCTTTGGTGTCTGTGCTATATCACGATCAATAAAAAACGCCTGTATCATTTCAACACAACGACACACACCATAAGGAAAAACCTATAGCCACTAGCCACTGTTGCTGAAAATTGCCATTGTCATGTAAGTATCTTTTTTTTTTCAGAATCATCTTTCTTTAATCTTTGGTAATAGAGACAAATAAAAAATCAAAATTATTTAGCCCGAGTCGAAAGGTTTAAAACTAAAAAAACGAACGTTATGAACTATTTTCTTCGTAAGGTGCAAATAACTAGTTTGCAATGCGAAGGATTTCAATGTAAAGCATTTTACAAC